CTCGTACGTGTGTATGTGTGCATGCATGCACGCGTGCATGTGCGCTCGTACGTGTGTATGTGTGCATGCATGCACGCGTGCATGTGCGCTCGTACGTGTACATGCGTGCATGCATGCGTGCGTGCATGCATGCGTGCGTGCATGAGCGCGTGCTCGTCTCTCGCTCGTGTGCTCGTGTGTGCGTACGCTCTTTCGTTCGTGCGTGTGTCTGTTGTGTGTGCGTTCGTGCATGCATGCGTGCATGCGTGCGTGCGTGCGTGCATGCGTGCGTGCGTGTGTTGTGTGTGCGTTCGTACATGTGTGCGTGCCTGCTTGCGCGCGCGCGTGTCAACAACGTGCACAACAGAGATGCCCACGGAAAAATTACATCGTCTCACGCACGCAATGCAACGCATGCACGCCTAATGTTTCTTCGCTTTTCTGCACCCCTCTCTCCCTTCCCCTCTCATCATCTCTCTCCTTTCCCTATCTCTCTCCGAGCGGCACGTCAGTACACTGTCCACGATATATAGGACACACACACCTAGTACGCGTACGCACGTAGTTATTCTCGCCAAATATCGACCTAGACTCCCCCTATATTTGCATGGAAAGCACGTCTGATTGTTATTGATTCGACAACGACGTCGACGCAAGCGTTCGACGTAATCAGCAAGCCGATCGACGTTCCGTCGTCGGCACGCGTCATTGTTCCTGCTGCTTAATGTCTTTATGTCTTTATCGTCTGCGCGCCGGACGTGTCGGCGACAGATGTGTGAAGGTTGTGCGCTAATGCATGTCATGTTCACACTACAGCCTCACACTACATCCCTCACTACATCCCTCACACTACATCCCTCACACTACAGCCTCACACTACATCCCTCACACTACATCACACTACAGCCTCACACTACAGCCTCACACTACAGCCTCACACTACATCCCTCACACTACATCCCTCACACTACATCCCTCACACTACATCTCTCACACTACATCCCTCACACTACATCCCTCACACTACATCCCTCACACTACATCCCTCACACTACATCCCTCACACTACATCCCTCACACTACATCCCTCACACTACATCACACTACATCCCTCACACTACAGCCTCACACTACAGCCTCACACTACATCCCTCACACTACATCCCTCACACTACATCCCTCACACTACATCCCTCACACTACATCCCTCACACTACATC